CTAGAGTGAATGCCGTGGTGTCAGCCTGGCTCACAGAACCTCAATCTCCGGGCTCAGCGATCCTACTGCCTCAGCCTCCCGAGTAGCTGGGACTACAGGCATGCGCCACCATGCCTGGCTAATTTTTTTTTTGTATATATATTTTTAGTTGGTCAATTAATTTATTTCTATTTTTGGTAGAGACGGGGTCTCGCTCAGGCTGGTTTCGAACTCCTGACCTTGAGCAATCCGCCGGCCTCAGCCTCCCAAAGTGCTAGGATTACAGGCGTGAGCCACCACGCCCGGCTCAAAGAGATTTTATTATGGAAATCAGACATCAGAGACTTGGTTCGTTTGGGCAGTCTCTCTAGATCTTTTTTGTGTTACTACTAGACAAGCTTGCATTATCTTCCATAATAAAGTTTTAAAAATTGGCCGGGCGCGGTGGCTCACGCCTGTAATCCTAGCTCTCTGGGAGGCCAAGGCGGGCGGATTGCTCAAGGTCAGGAGTTCAGAACCAGCCTGAGCAAGAGCGAGACCCCGTCTCTACTATAAATAGAAAGAAATTAATTGGCCAACTCGATATGTATATAAAAAATTAGCCGGGCATGGTGGCGATGCCTGTAGTCCCAGCTACTTGGGAGGCTGAGGCAGAAGGATCGCTGCGAGCCCAGGAGTTTGAGGTTGCTGTGAGCCAGGCTGACGCCACGGCACTCACTCTAGCCTGGACAACAAGCGAGACTCTGTCTCAAAAAAAAAAAATAAATAAATAAAAAAATAAAGTTTTAAAAATTATCTGGTTTGTGTAAAATTTTATTTTTTGCTCTCAATAGTGTTATTACACTGGATCAACCCTCTGCCCTTGTCTAGATTGCATGATTCATTTAGACCCAATTTCAATACTCCCTCATGAATTATTAGTATTGTTTCTTCTTCTTTTTTTAATCATGACCAGTTCTGCTTCTAATGCTAACAAGTCATCCATGTTAGAAGGAGGTAGGCACAGACCAGGGCCTCCCTCCAGACAAGTGTGTGGGTATTGGTGTTGTGATCTCTGAAATTTTCTGTTAATAGTATTGGCTTTGTATCATTCTTACCTCTGCTTTCATAAATATAGGTGACTACTCTGTGAAAAGTATTAAAATAATTGGTTAGTATAACGTAAACTAAAATAAAAGAAAAAAGATTGAGAGGTTAAATGTCAAGTTTATAAAATGGAAAAGGGTTAGTTAGGGTAAATATAGATTCGTCATTTCAGAAACTACAACTTAAGAGTCATCATTTACAACATAAAGGAGATTCAAGATGAATGGGATTTGAGGAATTCTAGATGATGACTCCAAAATATTTTATAGGATATTAAAGAGTTTTAGGGTTCACTCTTCATCTTTTGAAGGAATTTCAGGAAGACAACTACATCTTCTTGCAAAATAACTCTTGGCATCACTGTCCACTGGCTGACATAGTATTATATTTTATTAAGTTCTAAGAATTTTTCTGAATTGGTGA